CTAGCAGACATGCAGAGTTTTTTTATGAAATCAGAAGAACTGCTGTGTCTAGAAATGCTTCAAAATAAAAATAGAAATAAAAAATTACATTTGATAATTTTTATGAATTAATTACTTAACATCCATCTGCTACTGTTATGAATCAGTGGAATAGTAGGACACAAACGACCAGTATGTTTCCAACTTTCCAGTTCGTTTTTTTTCTGTTTTTTTTTTTCTTTTTTTTTTTGCGAGTATGTTACAAGGGCTTAATTCATAATGATCAATGGCTGCTATTTTGTTTCGACGCGGGCATTAAATGCACCACTGTGTCCCTTGGGGCCTGGCACCAGCACCCAGCCAGGCGAAATGCACACTAGCGGAGAGAGCACGCATCCTGAGAGACAAGGGGCATGCATTGTATTTCAATTTTGAAAGTTTAATATTGAAAACTCCAAAAAAAGCGCATGTTCCGAAGCAACTTGGCCATTGCTTGTCCATTTTTTTTAAACGGACGACCTGAAAACCATTACCTACTTCTTGCTTTTTTTTTTCCTTTTTTTTTTCCCCTATAGACGTCTTTCAAGTTCTTTATTAATAAATTTCATTAAGTAATAGACGCAAATTGCGATAGAATCTAGGCTACCAGAGTGGCCCGGGACCACTTGCCCGGGCGGGCAAAAAATAATAATAAAACAACAATTCATTTTTATTTTATTTTTTATTTTAAATTTGGTAAAGACTTTCGATGTGACCCTGAGGCAAACGTTGTGCAGTTTATTTTTCTGCATAACATAGTTTTTTTTCGGCTTTTTTTTTTTTTGCTAGGACCTTTCCTGGTCCTTGCACGGCCGGCCCGCCCGGAAAAGTAGGCTGGCCCGGGCGGCCCGGCTGGTAGCCTAGGATAGAATCATAGAAGGCGGGAAAAAAAAACAAAAAAAAACAGGAGGGACAGAAACAAGAAAAGAACCCCCCCCATGAACTGCCCCCCTCCCCCTCTTCTTTTGGTGAGGTCTTCATCCTTGTGTGATCGGTATCATCAAGCTTCAGCGCCTGACCAGTAGCACTCATTGTAAACATTCTGTTTTGCAGTGCAGCCAAATGGGTACTTTCAACCACCAGTACTTGGGGCCGGCCTTAGCGTTAACGCTACGAAAATTTCGCGGCCGACGGGCCGTGGATAAATCGAATCCACAGCCCGTGTCACTTCGACCTCCGGCGCAGAGTGCGGCGGCGCGCAGTGCCCAAGTACTGGTGGTTTAACCTTGGCCGGTAGCTTGGTAGGCTGTAGGTTCTAGGAATGACTACCATCGTCCCCGAACACAGCACACACTCATTATGGATGTATGTGATCGGAAAGACAGTTTATATACATTCATAATCCCAATGCATTATGTTCGGGGGAAGATGGTAAGGCTGTAGGTGGAGATGGATGGCAGGAGACCAGGTGTGTCCCTTGTAGACCAATCTTGCCATCATAATGAATGTATGCAATCCATCTTTCCGGTAAGATACAGCCAGTGCATCATAATGAATGCATGCAAGCCATTGCTTCGGTCAGATGCAGCCAATGAACTCGTTCTCCGTATTTGGAAGTCCAGCAAGAAGGGGGAAAGCAGTTCAGTTTTTTGCTCATCAGCTCGTGGGGTCGTTAGTTCATAATGAATGTATACAAGCTATCTTTCTGGTCAGGTACATGCACCTAGGCTACTTGGCTTGCCAGAGGCTGTGCAGCACAGCCATGCAACCCGGGCACGTCACCCAGGGGTCACCTACACAGGGCATCCCATGCAGTAAAAAAATCAGCCCTTCTTCTCTTTTTCGTATTTTTCCTTTCGGGTGAGAATATTCCGAGCCTGCGCAGAGGAGCCCGAATCCGGAGTCCTTTCTCTTTTCCAGTGTTAGCTGTCAAAGGGGCCAAAGGGGGGTATAAATTGGTTTTTAAGGGGGTAAAGGGGTTCAAACTTTAAGAGGGGGGTTCCATACTCTGATTTTGTTGGCTTCTTTTTTATATTTGATTCCGTGAGGAATTCGGATGTGATCCTCAGCCAATCATCGTTCGCATTGCAGTTTTACACAACATATTTTTTTTCTGTTTTTCGTTTTTTTTGCCGCTGGGGCTGTTCGGAGCTCTGCCTGGGGTTCATGCCCGGGCAGGCACCCGGGCATGTATCCAGGCACCCAACCCTGCCCGGGCTTCATGCCGGACATGCACCCGGGCGTGTATCCAGGCACAAGTTGGGTGGCCGGGCGCACGGACAAACAGCCTAGACAACCAGTCAGTTTGCCAGGTGGGGTCACCACAGTCATAATTGCACAAGTAGTATACAAAATTGCCACCCCTGTTTACTTTTTCTCCCGTCATCACCCCCCTCTCCCCCTTCCCCCTTTGGTCCCCCTTCCCTTGCCACCTCCCCCTCCTGCTCCCCCTCCCCCCTCGTCCGTCCTACTCTTACATTCTTCAATTCAACTTTCCTCTTTTCCTTTCTCCCCTTCTTGCTTTTGCACC